TACATTCTTAGATCAGTAGCACTTGCTCTTGCTAAGTCAAGCAGACTGTAGCTTTTCCTTAAGTTGTCAAAGTGGATGTCACTTGGTGTCTGCCACATTTTGCAGTATATTCTGGGGTACATCCTCAGTTTGTGTGCAAAGTCAACTATGTTGACAGCAGTGTAAGAATCCAGAGCCATGTGCCAACTTTGTCATAGCAAATGTGCATTAAAGTATGTCACTTTTGAGGTTACTGGAAGGTATACCAGCCCTAACTACAGTGATTGGTTCAAGCATAACTTTGAGTTCTCGTTTATTATTTATCTATAGTTTGTGTTCGTTCTTGTTTTGACTGAAGTCTTTGTCATTTCAAAAGTCAAAATACCCAAGAAACTTTATTAAACATTAGCTTATTTATTCTGTTTTGTGGATCAAGGTTATAGCCAACTCTAAGAGGTTTAAAGTTGCATATATTTCTGGCCCAATTTAGATATAGCACTCAAAGTCTAAATAAACCATGGTTTGATAAACTGGGAAGGACTTTTGGGCCCACATGCATCCTCATCACTTTTCTCCCTTCCTCCCCTTGCACATTACAGTTAAAGAGAGATTTGTTTGATCAGAGTTTTCCAATAGACCCAAACTGGTAAAGTATGTTTTAATGTCTATTAACAAACCAGGATCTGAAATCAAGGATCATTGCCCGTGTCTGGGATCCAGCTGGTCTGAGCTTCCCAAAAGGTAAAAGAAAGAAATATAATAAGTAAAAATGCTTCACCCTGATTCAGCAATTCTCACACATCCAAGGATCCTTTGATGGAAGATGACTATACACAATAATAGGCTATGTATAGATAATCACACTGCAAATCCCTTTGTGGCAGCCTTTCCTCATTAACTGTGAAGTCAGCACCATGTTGACTTTTCCTAAATTGAGGAAAGTTGCAATGATGAGGACTGGCAACTTACTGCCTTTTAAAACTGACATCTAATATCCATGGAATGTTCTCACCCAGTGAAAGCATATACATAATTCAGTAGGGGGTTTCTATTCTGTCACACCTAAACTTCAAGTCAAGATTTCCTTCCTATGTCTATGGTCTGGATATGTTGTTTTAAACCCCTTTTCTTTGTGTGGTGGGGGCAGGGGAGGGAGGGAGGGTTTCTCTGAGACTCTAGAATGTATTGCATTTACTTACACAAAGCTGTGATTGATGGAAAATCCAGAAGATCAGAATCCTTCTGATCTTAACACTATTTTGCTATGACGGACTTGTGCATAGCTTTCTATGCTATCACTTTCACCTTCTTGTCCAGGAAGTTCCTTGGATTTCATTGGCAAGGAACTTTATAGCTCAGCTTTAGTTTGTGCTTCTTTGCCTTATATCTAAACCCTGCAAGCTTCACTTTGCTTTTTAGCTGTCAAGGGATATTAAATCATTAGAGAAATAAATAGAAATAAATTATAATTCCATTACATGAGTCATCTGAGCTTTCATGGAAACCCACTAATGGTAAAGCCATTCCCCAGCACCACAGCCTTGTATCCATAAATTGTAATGTGTAGCCTGAGCTCCCTCCTCTTCCACTCAGAGAGAAGGTGTTGCAAAATTTATATCAAGAAAGTGCAAGCATGGCAGAGCTGTAAAATAATGGAAGTATTGTATTTTCAGTCTAAGAGGGTTGCAACCTCATTGGACAGAAGTCTCTGATTCTAGAGTCATCGGAGTACCCAGTGTCCCCCTGGGCTGCTCTCAGCAGGGTGGGAGGAGTAACAAAGACAATATTCACCTCTCCTTTGTTTTCCCCTACCCCAGATGGACTTCTGAGGCTGTCTAGTGGAGGCACTGGCAGCGATAGAGCTGGAACTGGAGAAGTCATATGACACTTTGTAAAATGGTCCTTTTCCCTCCCCTCTCCCTTCCTGCTGCAGCATCGCCTTTCAGATCTCTGTGTGGTCTTCTGACCTTGCAAAGGAGGTCCCACAGTTCTTTCTGATGCAGTTCTGAGAGGTGAAGAGAAGGATAAGATTCTAGAGTACCCCTTCCAAGGTAGTAGTGATGTCTGTGGATTCGGAAGGAGTACTGCAAAGAAGTTCATGGTCTCTGGGATGCTCTCCAGGAGCTATAGGACTGCTCTCCCTCATTTTCAAAAGCAACACCTTAAAGCAGGCCCCTTAGGAAAAAGATACAGTAATCTGCTATATTAGATATATGGATAATCTTGTGTTGGACATTCTGCCATCTTCCTTGATGTATTCTTATGAGGCCATGAAGTTATGCAACCTGGGGGTGTATCTAAATCTCTGAAAACTCATTACAAAGGTTCTTTGGATCATCAAGGAGTGCCCTTCTCCAGAAGTGACCCAACTAATTGTATGATACCATTAAAATTCCCAAGTGAGCTAAGATGCATTGAATAAATGATGCCATTTTAGTTTTAAAGAGGGAGGGGAAAATAGAAGTACAAAGTTATTGGTAAAAAGGAGAGCCCAGCAAAGTTTTGTTATACCCTATACATTTATTCTGGTTTGCAACAGACTTTCCTGAACTAAAAGCAAGAAAAATTTCAAGAAAAATTATCATATGTGTCTTTGATTCAACAGGGTTGTTTTGTTTTGTATGTAAACAATTTTGTCATTAGGCATTCTTCATAACATTCTGCAAAAATAGATGGCTCCTGCCAATTATGGCAAATGTGGGAGAGGAAGTACTTCCCTACTGTTGAACCCCTTCTTTGGAAGTATCCTTTTCCAAAACTACCAGAAATCCTGATAAGCTGCCACCACAGCCTGATTCTCACCCAAATACTCCAGGATGTTGAGCTGACTGGCGAGTTTCTAAGTTCAGAGGGCTCCAGCTTCAGCCCAGCCCTAGAAACATAAACATAGAGGCACTTAGGTTTTACTTTCCCAAATCCCAGAAAACACCACATATTACAGAGTTGTTAAGCAATTCCTTGTGTTCCACCAAGTCTGTCAAGTCTGGAAAATTACATCTCCTGATCTACCATTAATATATCTTATTTCTATATTAATTTAAGCATCACTATTTTCCCTAAACACAATATGAGAATTGTAGTTTGACATGAGTGCTTCGAATCTGGTGCTAGAAATCTGTAACTCACAGATGCAGAACTGTACTTGGCCTGCTACCAGGTGGCTCAGTATTCTCTGCTCTGACTGGAATTGGCTCTCCAGGGTCTGAGGCAATTTTTTCTCATCACCTGCTACCTAATCCTAGAAGTTGGATGTGTCAGGAATTTAGTCTGGGACCTTCCACAGGCAAAGCATGTAGTCTGCTTCTGAGCTTTGGTGCTTCCCCCAGATTCCTTGTGGAGAAAGAATGCATGCAGTACAGATAGATATAACCTTAGTAAGATAGAAGGAGAAAAGACACAGTTACATTGGATTGTATCCAATGCTATTGTTAAGTCCCATTCATTTCAATTGGTCTACTCTAAGGAAGACTATTAATTTATTACATTTCTGTACCACCTGAAGGCCAAAGCTCTTTAATGTCAGATGCAAGCCATTAGCAGCACAATCCTATAACATCTACTTAAACGTAAATTTAATTCAATTCAATAGTTTTTACATCCAGGTTTGTGGGTATAGGACTGATGCCTCAGAAATCAAACTAAGTTCTATGTTGTAGGCTATGGTGAAAGATGGAAAAAGTTGAGACATACAACTGGCATAACAAATCGCGTGTGTTAATCAAACCATGTACTAACCAGGGTCACAAAAATTCAACTTTTACAGCACTTCAAAGAGTTTTTTGATTATGACCATTGCTATAATGTAAACTGCAAATGTGGAAGGGTATACCGAGAAAACATATATAGGACACATTTCACAACAGCTTTTCCAAATATCAAAGACCACAATGGTAAAAAACAGTGACAGGCAGAGAACTTGTCCAAATCAAATTTGTGCATAACTTTTGTATGTGTAAGCACTGCAAAAGAACAATTTATCGCAAAAGATAGCCAGCTAATTTACAACTGATTTTAATTCAGACACATAGGTTAAACCAGTAATCTTCACTGTTTTTCATGCAGAACACACTTGAAGGCTGCCAAGGCCACATTGGAACTTTTCCCAGGCAGGGAAAGGTCTCTCTCCTTCCTTGCTGTAGTCAAGCAGAGATGCTGAGCACCAGGCTTGGCTGGAGGCATTTCAAGCTTTTCCTCCTCAATCCACTCCACATCATCCAAGCAAGACCAGCGAACAAGCTCTGACAGTGTCGTTTCTGGATCTTTTTCTTGTCACCGGGAGACTGCTCTGTGCTTCGAAATCTCCTGGCACAGATCCATGTTGCTTTCTCTTGTCATCACGTTCAGTTTTCTCTCCATCTTTGCAGTGTACCAGTGCAGCTAGCCAGGGTTGCCCCTCACTTCTTGGGCTCCTGCCCCACCACAGGCAACTGTATGTCCATTGTATGTCCGTTGTATGTCCATTCTCTCTTGTCCCCCGGCACCAATTCTACAGCTGTAGCATGACAGGTCTCCTGAATTCAGAGCCCTGAGGTCTCCTCCAGCAGCCCAGATCACAAGAGTGAGCCCATTGCTAAAGCAACCAACAAGGCAAAACTGGAGACCCCTTGCTAAAAATGAGCAATTACTACAAAGAAAAAGAGAGTGGAACACAAGTGGTCCTTGAGCTAATTGAGAGCCAACAATAGTCCTTCCGCCTTGCGATGAAGAATACTCGTTTAAAATAAAGCTGGAAATTATTCTAAGGAAGGCTATTTTCTAATGCCACAATGCATATTTTATACTTCCTCAGGCTATCTGCTATTGAGTCATGAGTGTCACATTTTAAAAATACTTCAGTATTAGAAAAGAATGTACTGATTTACTTATCGTACACTCCAACAGCTTGAGGTTCCTCGAATTTATAAGTACAAAGCACATAGAAGTCGTTCGTTCAATGTCCATTCTGCTGGAATTCCAGATAGTGGCTGTCTGCTGAAACATGAGTTCAGTAACCAAATATAGATGAGAAGGGTAGGAATTACATAGTCAGAGAAGACAGATGTAACTCAGAGGCCACAGTCACCTTAATGCCTACTGTGGACCAAGCAATCTTCGATGAATAGCTAAAGCAACTCCCAGCTTTCTTAGACAAAGGGTTGAAGATCTTCCATGCCTGAAATTGATTTTCTATGAAAGTCTTCACACTGGCTTGAGATCTGAAAGGTTTGTAAAGTCCTTTGGGGTTTTTTAAATTAAATATAATTGATCCTGCTTAGGTAGTTCTAAATCCATAGATAGATATTATTGCACATTGTGCTACAAATAAAGAAACTTCCTTGACTACTGCAATTTTCCTGAGTGCAAATTGTTTTAAAGCATCACATTTTTATTGTCTAAAAATTTTATTGCCATAATTAATTGCTTGTATTTTATTCTCACCATTTCCTTTTCTAATTGCTCCAAGAAAATAAGACATAATTATTTATAATAGTGCTGAAAATTATATTACTTATCTTTCACCTTCATTTGATGATTTATTAGTTTCCTTTTAATAGGTCTGAGATGGCATATTCATAATAAATTGTGTTGGTGTATTGTCTAATGTTTCAGAGATATGTTATCATTATTTCTTGTAAAATTCCATATTTAGATATAGCAATGTTGTAAAGAATCAAGAAAATTGCATTAAAAGGCTGGCTATATTTAATGTTCACTGATTTCTTCAAACAGTACAGTATGTTGTTTAACCATCACTACTAAACTTTTTAGAGAGATGAGGAAAGCATTTATAAATATGCTCCTGTCTAATCAGTCAAGTCTAGAAATAGCTCATAGGCTAGTTCTAATTATGAACATGTATGCTATTTGATAGCATTCAAGTATTATTTTAACTAGATTAGCCAGTATTTAAAGAAGGTCCTGGCAAAGGAAAAATGGATTTCCTTGATGACACTGTAGATCTATACATTCTGGCCCTAATCCAAAATAGAGTTAAAGGTACATAACCCCCACTGAAATAAATAGGGTGGACTGCAATAGCTGATCAGGCATTTGTCCCTAACCATAATCAAATCAAAGTGCACTGATTTGAAATCAAAGTGCACTGATTTGATTATGGTTCGTGACAAATGCCTACTTCATAGACATCAAAATAACTGCTAAGAGGAAGCAAACAGTGATAGATCAGAAAAGGACTTGGCATTTTGTTCAACCCTGAAATGTTTCATCCTCTAGCAATCTGACCATGCTAGTACGTCCTGAAGTATTTACACAGGCACCTGTTTTAGGTACCTGCAATCTGGTCAGATGACATTTCTGGATTTGAATTAAAACTTAACCATTCTTTGAGTAAGTGAATGGACTACTTGAAAGTAAATGGAGAAATTTTTGGTTGTTGACATTTAGTGAGCACCGACTTGCACAACATATGCAAACCCAATTCCAATGGGCCTGAAACCTTTCTTTGTTGCCTTTATTATCCCACTGGATGGAAGTTCTCCATTTCATTCTATACAATTCAGTTATCTTTGTCACTCGTTCTATTCCACAGGGGTTCAAAGTTGAACTGAAGTGTGACAGTTCCTACTTGAGCAGAGCATGTTATGTTTCACCCAGATCTCAGAGAGGGATCTGAGTCACTTACCACTATCATGAAAAAGAAAAAGATCTTAGCGACTTGCCAAGCATATTTCATTCAGATTGGAAGTCTGAGAATATTAGTAAGAAAAAGCACCATTTATAACCTTTTTAAGAGTAAGCATATTTTAAAAGTATTGAGAACAGAATTAAAACTAGGGTAGCCAATGTTAGTAGTTCTTTTCATAGTAGTTCCTCTAAGTAGGACTTCGGCTGGATACAAGCCAATGAAAACAAAAACTTTAGGAATCATCCAGCCAAATTTAAATATTCTTATGTCTTACTGGTTTCAACAATACAGACATACTGAATGCCCCGTCCATGGCTTCAGCATGTTGAAGGGGCTCCAATCAATTATGGAAAGGCAGAACTGCACTACTGCTCCCATCATTAGCATTGCAAGGATTGACAGACCTTCCCCCTTCAATGTACATGGGCTGAGTGTGAATACGTGCTATCTGGTTCCATATCTTGTGCAAGTCTATTTGCATACATCTCTATGCTCATAGGTTTCTTGCTTCAACCATTCATGCTTAGTGTAAGAACATGGACTGGGGCAGCCATGCTCACAATGCTGTGTATGGGACCAGCAGCGAGGTGGCATGGTCTCTTCATTGTACGGAGCCCTGCTTCTGCATGTATTGTGTGAAAGGGCCAGAAATGTCTTCCACCAAAATCAGTGGGACTCAGAATGGCTGAAACATGCTTAGATTGCGTTCTGTATGTATAAGCATGCAAGACATAAAGTCTGCAAGTTCAATCTTGATTCCCTGACATTTAATTAAGAGGTTTGACGGCTGAGCTTCTAAATCAAAGTTTCAATCCAAAGTTCCAAGTGCACATCAGTGCAAACTGATGTGTGGAGTTTCATGCATGCAAGCATGCCTATTTACTTAAAAAGAAGGAGCATAGCCTAGAGTTCCTCCATCAAAATGAATGGAGAAATCCTTGCATATGTTCTAGCTTTTTGTCTATAGTGTGCCTCCATGCAGGCAAGTAGCTTCTGAGCTTGACCATTCGTGTTCCATTTAATCCTTTCTCTTCTTTTCTAAAGATCTGAAGCTACAGGTTTTTTTAAGCTGGGTGCACTTTTAAAGCATTTGTTGGTAACTTGATATTGTAGCTTGTCACACAAAGCGAATTAAGAAAGTATTAGAGAACCCATTGTAAATAAAACACAGAGTCCATATGCCCAAGTTTTAGATAGTGAAATTATAAGCTAAGTGGTCGGTTTCCTAATAGTTTCCTTTCTGTGCCCAGTAATAAAAGTCTGAGAGAAAGAAATAATATTAAGTGATGCCTCTACCAGTCCAAAGCTTCAAGCACTCTAGCCATCAATTAACAGCTTCATGCAAGACAAGTCCCAGGGGAGCAGCTAAGTGTAACTAGAGCTTGTACAAGGCAATGTAAAATACATCCGATTGCATCCCATGACTGTCAGGTCATGCATCTATTACTGAAGTAAAATTGTATGGCATATGGTCAAATGCCATTTCAAAATTTTACTTACTTATTTATTTATTTATTTATTTAGAAAATTTCTATGCGGCTCCATTCGCCGAAGCCTCGGGGCGGCTCACAACATAACATAATGAAGTTTGTTGGTGTGTATTTTTTTTTAAAAGAATTGATTGCTGCATTCAAACAAAAATGCTGTTATCCATTCATTTTATTTTTGTTTTATCATCATTTCCCGGTGAAATGATCTCCATTTTTTGTGCAAGTCCCAGAATGCTCTCAATCTACTTCCCAAATATATTAGATCCATAGCCATGTGTGTAACCACAGCTGATTTTTTTTCCTATTCTCATCTTATAGTTTATGTGAAAGGCATTTTGGAGGAAGAGATCTAGGTACAAGTAGTTAAAATAAATAAAGTGGAAACTCACCTTGTTTGTTTTCTGGTTTGGTGAGACCCTCTTTCTGTTAGTAAATACTAGCATCTGGTTGAGATACTGTTTTCAGATAGGTGTCTCAGGATGCTCACAAACAGCATGAAGACAAAGGCCATCTTCTGCTATAAGTAGAGGGCATCAGTCCCTGGTTGCTTGTACTAGGCATGTGGTCCACATAGTGTGGATAAGAGCTGCTCATCAACCTCTTACCCTGTCACCTGTCTAGACCTTTTGAAAAGCCATCCAACATACTGACCAGCACTTCTCATGGTAATTACTTCTACAAGTTAGTTATGCATTATATGAAGAACTGTGTCAGGGGTGATTCCTTCCCCCACTTGCAGCTGGCACAGAAAGAACCATGGCAGCTGCTTCTCCAAAACTGCAAAAGCAGCCTCAGAGAAGGGCTTACCAGATGTTCTGGGGAGAGAGGAGGAGAGACAAACGGTGCCACCAAGATGCAGCGTATCCTGGCAGCACCTCAGCCTCCTTCCATCCTGCACAGAATGACTCCACCCTCAGAATAGCTCAGGCCACTTCAGGACTAGGCAATAGGAATGGTGGACAATACATAACTGATCTGCTGTCTTGACCTAAAGAACTCTTGCTTGAGTCCCACCCTTCCCTGTTCTATAGTGTTTCCTTCCTGCTCCAAGATGGATCAGCTCTCATGTTCTGCCTGAGTCATCCTGCATAGTTATCTTGGCAGTTCAGAGGCCTGTGCCAGTTCCTCCACATCTTCCTCCCACTCCTAATTTGAACTAGCTATTTGGGGAGACTGTGGCTTGGGAGAACTGGGCCTCTTCTCTACAGTGTGGTAGTTTTGTTAGTTTTGGTTTTGCTACAGTGGTAATGTTAGGTTTCAGGCAACTACTATGATCCATAGTTCCAATCACACAGAACCTACTACTCATTTATAAATATTAAATGATAATACTTTCATTTAAGGGCACATAGACTATGATACATTCATCTGTTCTGCACTTTGCCGCTGGTCTTGGTCATAAATAATGCATTAATGCCGATTCAAGAGTTAGGTGACATGAAGTTCATCACTGTTTTCAAGACTGGATTTATCTGTGTTCCAGCATGCAGGGCAGAAGCTGTGAGCAAGCTGTTCCACTGTCTTTAATGATGAAGGAGGGTTACTCTTCAGAGAAAAGCGCACATGTGGGAAACCATGAGAACACATCTGAAGATTCTTCATCTTATGAACCCTTTTATGATTCCCTATCAGACATACAGGACGCGGCATTTTCAAATGACCTATCGGCTTTTCTCAATGAAGAAGAGATAAGCAGAAGCCTTGACCTTGCTCACAGGTCCATTACAAATTCTTTAAAGGGGGATGAACAAGCAAAGCAGGAATGCACATATTACTTCAACACTTCTTTAAACTCACCAGACAGTGCCTCTTCTAGGGAGACCAAAGAGCATGATCCAGATCCTTCCAAGAGGGCTCAGGTGACCAGCCCAAACTCAGCAAAACCTCTTCCAGAGCAGAAGAACCAGACTACATATCCTCAGGAAGCAAATAATCGCTTAAATGTTACTGGGAAACAATCTAATCTATCTCCTCTTCTACCTGCAAGACCCAGCTTTATTCGGAGTCTAAAGAATGCTGAAAAATGTTGTCCAAGTGCACAACAGATGTACTCTAAGTCCAAGCCAGCTTCAGCAGGTGATGTCCCCTTCAAGAATAAGCTGTGTGACAAAGCAGCTACTTTGATTGAAGAGCTGTCTTCCATCTTTCGAGAAGCAGCCAAGACAAGAGTCAGGAGCCCAGATGGAAACTCTTCTTCTCCAGATAGTGGATATCTTTCCCCTAAAAACAAACAAATGGCCATGTCAAAATCCTTAAGGAGCGCAACCTCTGACAATACATGTCCAGAGATCATACCAGAGAGTATACCAGAAGTCACTCCTGCTGGAGAACCCAGGAAGGAAGGCTCCCAGGCAAATGTAGATGCCTTCCTGCACCAAGTCACAAAAGAAAGCCACAATCAACTATCACCCCCACGATTTATCCAGAAACTTAGGAGCCAAGAAGTTGCTGAAGGAAACAAAGTGCTGCTTGAATGCAGAGTTGCTGGAAATCCTACACCACATGTGAGGTAAGAATTATTTTCATCAACTATAACCAATGCTACTGTAGCTTCACATGTTTGTCTTGATGAGAAAGTTAAGTTGTTATGATCCACTGTGAGTTATATTTTGCATTACTGTATATACATGCTAAAAATAGGGATCTGCAAACTTCAGTTAGTGTTGGTGGTCAGGCAGTAACTCCAATCCATGACCTTACTCTGAATTCTCTCATATTTAAAAGAGAGTCTGGAGAGGAGGATTCTGCACCTGTCACTACTTCTGAGTACCTCCAAAGCCTGGAATAAAAGAAGTAGCTGATCCAACCTTCTCTGCAAGTTCCAAAGAGTGCCTTTCACTACTTCAGGCCTTCAGTATGAGAGGAAATCAAAGGGCCATTTCACATATAAGACAATAGAAAAGGTGCAACCACCCAATTGCTCAGACTCCATGTGGGAGCACACAAACAATCCATCTGTGCAAATTTGGACTAATGCTTTGTCTCTTCCTTGACTTTCCTCCCTTGAAACCTAAGAACAAACCACTGGGTATGGGCAGAGACAAACCAGAGGCCCTGGTTGTTTAGCAGCTTTCACTTGTAGCAGAAGCATTTGGGGAAATGTGCACCAGCCCAATGCCTCATTCAGAGCAACCCACAATTTAAACAATCTGGGTTGTCATTACTGGAGAACTGAGCCAAAGTAATCATTCCGAAGTTATGATTTGAGGAACACAGCCCTTAGCAATATGATCTTTGCCCACTAGTGCCTTCCCAGTATTAATAGGAATGCTGTGGATGATACTGCAACTGACAGCAACAGGGTATGCTGTTCGGGTGCTTTTGGACTCTTTTCTCTGCCACCCATACATTTCCTCTAATAAAGATCCTTAAGGGACCCCTTATGTACTTCCTTCCATTGTGAGAACTGCATATTTGTTCCTCTTGTTTAGCAATTACTAACACATAAGAATCTGTTCTGTTCAGTCACAAAATCATGCCCGATCCATCATGACCCCATGGACAACATTCCTCCAGACACTTCTGTCCTTCACCATCCCCTGGAGTCCACCGAACTTCACACCCACCACCCCAGTGACCCCATCCAGCCACCTCAACCTCTGCTGTCCCCTTCTTTTGCCTTCAATCATTCCTGGCATCAAGGTCTTCTCCAGTGAGTCCTTCCTTCTCATTAGGTGGCCAAAGTATTTGAGTTTCATCTTCAGTATCTGGCCTTCTAAAGAACAGTCAGGGTTGATTTCCTTTAAGATTGACTGATTTGATTTCTTTGCAGTCCAAGATTTCTCAGGAGTCTTCCCCAGCACCACAATTCAAAGATGTCAATTCTTCAATGCTCAGTTTTCCTCACAGCCCTACATTACAACTAGGAAAACCATAGCTTTGATTATATGAACTTTTGTCAGCAGGGTGATGTCTCTGCTTTTTAGTCTGCTGTCTAGATTTGCCATAGCTTTTCTCCCAAAGAGCATCTTTTAATTTCTTGGCTGCAGTCACCATTTGTGGTGATCTTGGAGCCCAAGAAAATAAAATCTTTCATTCTTCCATTCCTTCCCCATCTATTTGCCAGGAAATGATAGGACCAGAGGCCATGATCTTAGACCAGAGGCCATGATCTTAGGGCAGGCCTGGAACATTTTATTGCTTGAAGTGAAGCACAACATGACAGTCCTGTCACATTCCTTTTACAAAGACTCTACCTTTGATATGGTGTCCTCTACTGAAACTGAAGGCAATAGGCTGGCTTACAAGATGCAGGGCACACTTCCTGGCACCCACAGCTCTGTCTGTCAACATGTTGCTGCCCCTTCTGGTTTCTGGTACCTGAGACAGGTGCCTCAGCCTGCCCATCCTGCTCTTACGTTTACTCAGGGGCATTTAGTCAAGGAGTTTGTCAAAAGCTTTGTGGAAGTCAACAGACTTAATGCCTGCCAAATCACCACTCTTCATTGGCTTGTTAATACCCTCAAGCTGGGCTGGCCTTCTAAGGAAGCAGTGTAGAGAAGCAGGAGAAGCAGTGAATTACATCTCTCCTCATACACACACTACAGCCAAGAGAGAGCATCCCAATGCTCTGCTACCTGCAGCAGGTGCTCTAAGGAGAGCTCACCTGGATGTTGTGAATATGGCAGTGGCAAAAGGGGAAGGGAGAGGAGGTGAGGGGAGCGGAAGGGAGGTGGGAAGTAGAGCATGATGGGGGAAGGGGTGTGATGGGAAGTGGGATGATATAGTGGGGATGTGTGTTCTCTTCTGCCCTGGGTAAGGAATGAGCTTGTGCCACTGCTGCTTTCAAAGGTACACTAGAAGTCTGAGGACTTCCTTTTGCAGATGCTGAACTAACGCTTTTTCAGCAAGACATGTTCTTTAATTTGCTTAATCACTGTATCTCTAGAAATGCTTCCTGTCTGTTTATCTGGAGTAGACAGTAAGCTTAGTGACTTGTATTTTCGGGTTCCCCAGATTCCTTTCTTCAAGCAGCCAATATAGTTAAGGCAGTTTGGATAGTGGGAAAAGTTTGTGAATACAGTTCTCATCCCTACAGTGTATTAATTTCCAATCATCTGGTGGCATTATCTCATTGCTGCAAACAGGTGGGCACTGTCTGTCTTAGATTTCTAGCTTTATCATAGGAATCTGAAGAACTTGGGCTGCCCTTCAAGGTGTATAGCATCTACTGAAGCAGAAAACAATGGGCATGGTGTAGCTAAGCATGCATTGGTATTTTAACATGCATCATTTGGGATCAGAGTGACAGAGCCTCACAGGCATGGAAATTAAAAAATGGATTAAGGTGGCTTCTTTGTAAAAGTGGCCTAAACCTTTAATTCAGCAAAATGAGTCCAATTAGATGATCGCCGGCACATAAGCACAAGTACAGCATGTGACCTAACAGCTGTGTAGGGAATGCCTTCTGAATATTAACATATCAGTTTCAGTTTCATATCAAATGTATTCCTTAAAAGAGTTTGAGGTCAATAGAGTTGTCATTCATTCACATTTTGGCAAGCTTATATTCTTATAGTTATGATAATTACTTTCACATGCAGCCTGTGCTTTTCCATTCTCCCTCTCTACCATTCCCTTTAATTGCATGTGAAACTAATTGTGCACATGCACACTCACACGCACACCCCAGCATGCCATCATTTTCTCACCAACAGTCTGACACAGTCTGACATCAAACTGTATGTAAGGGCCATTTCATACCTTGCTCAAAGGTAAATTCCAGTTCGCCACTTGAGGCCAGATCACACAATTACTGGGCCAGCATGAATCCTGGCTTGGCAGAGGTATGGAGGTACGGTCTCTCATTCATTTCACCCATGTATAGTCCTGTGTTGTGCCATGCTGGGCTAGTTTGCACATCACAATAAACCGCACACTACAGAGGCTTAGTTGCTCACTTGCTATATCATATTACTCCTAACAGATGATCAGGCACACCGCAGCTTCTTTCCCCATGAGTCCTTCCACCCCAGCACTGACATATTCCATTCGCCTTCGCAGCTGGGGCAGAACCCCATTAGACTACTCTACTAATCAGTGCAAACATGCTTATTAGTGGAGCAAGGGTATTAAGAAAAATGGGAGGATATTTAGCATTTACACCTCAGGGAAATTAACTAAAAATAAAGCTTCCAGAGAGATTTGGGCAAATTCACTAAATGAACGTATTTTAGTGAATCTGTGCCGATTGTCCCAAAACAGTCAATGCAGTTCAGATACTGTAACAGAGCAAGACATATCCCCTAACATTACCTCAAGCCTGTTTCTTCACAATGTGGGAAGTTCACAGATACAGTGTGAATCAAAGAATGCGATATTAAGTACACCACTCCTGAGCAACAGACTTGTACAGTACTGTTACTGGCATGCGGACTGCAGGACATTCATGGAGTATTGGAACGCGTTTTGTCCAACTCATAGAAAAGCTTGCGTTCTCTCCATACCAAACCTTATTTAGATTCCCACTTACGACTGTCATGTCTGCTGGAGCCCCTAACACCATTACATCCTAGCTTAGCAAACCAGTTTCTATATATATGTATTTCCCAGATTTAGCTAGGTGTCTTTTCCCTATGGTCTGTCTTCTCAGAGCCCCATCATGTGATCCAAAAAGCCAAATTCTATTTATACTTTCTGCATCACCATCCTTCCAGAATATATCTGGGTGTTTTCCTCTCACTGGTAGGCTTGATGGAAACACCAGCTGTGTCCCCATATCTTTAGCCTTGCTTTAAAGTGCATAATTGGTGCCCATAAGGAATATGCAGTGTGGGCTTTGATGAGCATGCACAACCTTTCCATGGAGGCACAAACCAAACCTTGCAACACCCTGGATGCCAGATCATGTCAGCAAATTTCTTGGGCACACGCAATTATTTCTGTGAAGCAACTGAGGCAACTTCTCCCGCGCTGTTGCTGTAACACTAGGCCAGCTTCAGTAGCTTGGGAACCTCAAGTTTTGGAAAGAGGAAAGTTCTACCTGATTTCTGGAAGATGTGTATGGCTGAAAAAGAACACACATTGACCCCATGGGTTTTATAAAATAGCAAACGTATTATCCAAGTGTTGATCCCTATGTAGATCAGATGTTTCTTCTGTAGATAAGATGCTGTTGGAGTTGATGGGAATTATAGTCTAGGCGCATATGGAGGGTCAGATGTTCTCTGTCACTACTCTGCAATGACTTTTGCCATTTCCTACACATCTGGGCCCTCTCCCAAATGAGCGACAGCACAGCAAGACACACCTGGGCTTGCTTGGACACAGATATGGCAGGTGTGCGAACTCACAACTCCATGCAGGGGCTCTCTGTATGGTCGATGCACTTCACTTGATCACAATGTATTTTTAGCCACTACAATTTTAGTGGTCATATATTAGAGTCTACATACATAGGAAGTGGTTTGTACACACAGTGTCTTTTGCGCAGAGTGTAACTATAAAAGTCTCTAAGTGCTCACAAAGTACTTGTAGGCAGGCTGTTGTCAAAAGCGGACTGGCTCTATG